TATACATACTATTAATATATATATACATATACATACATACTATTAATATATATATATATATATATATATTCTTTTTTTTTTTTTTTTTTTTTTGTTAAACATTTTCCAATTTTTTACATTATATGTATGTGTTGTGCAGTAAAATACAGTACTATTGTGAACTCTGAGGCTGTTAATCGAGTGCAGGCTACTTTACATGCTTTTAATGAAGCCATCTATTCACATTAATTAGTATAAATGCATATATATATATATATATATATATATATATATATATATATATATATATATATATATATATATATATATATATATATATATATATATTGACTTTATCTGCATATAATAAAGCATAAATGAATGTATTAGTGACCAAAAACAGCCATAGCTAATCAAAAAGACGTTAAATTGAATGACACTGTCAAATGATAAGGATTTCATCTCCATAACATTGCTGTCTCTGTATTATTTATAGAATTTTGGCATACACTGTGGTTCTCAAGCTATTAATGAACACAAAAGGCTTTACAGTCAGAAATCATTTCCATTTTGTGATGGTGTTAAATTGTTATTGTGACCTGTTGATCTGCTGTGCTGATTCTATAAATGACAGAGTGACGGCGAATTGTCCTCATCATCTCTGACTCACAGCACAAACAAACCACCGACGTGAAAACTCAAACAAATACTTCTGTAAGCGCTTAAACTCTTCTTAAAGAGACAAGCATGGTTAATCTTTACTACAACAACAAAAATACTATTTGAAAAAGAGCAATTTGTACATTACCGGACATTAGCTGTCAGAATTTGACCGTAAACAGAAAAACAAAAATGCTGAAAACAACCACATTGGAAATGCTAAGAAACCCAAAAGAGTTATATTTATCAAACAACAGTATGATAGAAATAATTTTGCACAGAGAGAAATCATCATTAGAATTTTAGAGTTTTTTTTTACTATTAAAAAGAGAGTAAGAAAGAAAAAATACATTAATAAAAATCACTTGGTTTTTTTTTTAAATTAAGTCTATCAAAAATAATGCATTCGTTAAAAGATCTAAAAATATAACAAATCTAACAGTACATGCATAGATCGTTTCAAAGCCAAGATTCATCAATGAATTGCTCATATGTCAGCTTATGGAAGTGGTGTCAGTGAGGCCAGCAGGGGGCACCCAACCTGCAGTCTGTGTGGGTCCTAACACCCCAGTATAGTGACGGGGACTCTATACTGCTCAGTGAGCGCCGTCTTTCGGATGAGATGTTAAACCGAGGTCCCGACTCTCTTTGGTCATTAAAAATCCCAGGATGTCCTTCGAAAAGAGTAGGGCTTTAACCCCGGCATCCTGGCCAAATCTGCCCACTGGCCTCTGTCCATCATGACCTCCTAATCCTCCCCATATCATAATTGGCTTCATCACTCTGTCTCCTCTCCTCCAATCAGCTGGTGTGTGGTGTGCGGTCTGGTGCAAAATGGCAGCCATCGCGTCATCCATGTGGACTTTGCACACTGGTGGTGGATGAGGAGATCCCCCCCATGTGTAAAGCGCTTTAAGTGCCCAGAAAATCGCTATATAAATGTAAGGAATTATTATTATTATTATTATTATTATTATTATAGACAGACCAGCAGATCATCATGACATTGAAATGCTCCAGTGTCCCTATATCTGTGGTTACACTCAGTTAACAGCGGTGAATTTGGTGAACTGATGACCTTCACGGCCAATCACAGTCATTTCTGTTGAGCATGTAAACACAATGACAAATCAGCTCTGTTTAATCATGGCCAATAGACAACACGATGCTGAGGTGGCATCGCGATCCATCGCTCTCGCAAAAAATACACTCAGGCCGTGTTTACATGAATACGTCTTAGTGTTAAAATGGCATTTTAGAACGAAAATTATCCACATCCACACCGTGTTTTACCTTGCATTTCTGAACAGCCCTCCATCCTCTAAAAACGCACATCACGTGACCACACACACACACAGCCACGCTCTTTTCTTTCTCTCAGAGCTCCCAAGACAGAGAGAGCAGTGCACGTCTTTATCAAGGACGACCGGTGGATCGCGTCTCACTGAAGTTGTTAAACGTGATATTTATGCATTTGCGGGACTCCCGGAAATCACACGTTTCCCTCCCGGTCCTCAAATGAGTCACCCTTCTCACCCCCGGATCCCTCCTCACTCTTCAGACTCGTCACGCGCAGTCTATCAACCACCCCATGAATTTAACCCCCCTTTCTTAACATGATGACGATGCTATCGTCGATCGCGATGTTTCACATTAGACATCATACGATGCCAAATTGGTCGACAACGTCCAACCCTAGTTAGTACTTTAAAATTTAAGTACCGATTTGTACCACATTCCAGTATCGCACCAACCCAAAATATTATAATATATACAGTCTAATAAATGTTTCTCTACTGTAGTGTGGATCAAAACTACTATAGTATTTACTATAAATGTCTACAGTATTTTCTACTGTGGGATGTTACTGTGTTATAAAAAAGTGTGTCCTTGTATAAAATGTTTGTTCCTCAGCTCAACAGAATGATGTTGTGTGCGTTTGTTCAGAGAGAAACCTCCACGCTTCTCTGCGGAGCCGGATGTGGATCAGGAGCTGATTGAGCGTTTGGGTTTGGGCAGTAATGACACTCTCAGTAACGGAAACCGCGCAGATCTGGATGCTGCCAAACGCCTCGCCAAGCGGCTCTTCAACCTCGACGGCTTCCGCAAGTGTGATGTTGCCCGACATTTGAGTAAAAAGTGAGTAAATCTCGCTTAATTCTCACACTCAAAAGTCCTGACTGTCAGACATCAGTGCTGTTTAATTTCAAGAAGTAAAAGAGAAATGATTAGAGGGGTAAGCCGTCTGCCATTCGAGGTTTGAATCTGCCACTATGCTGTCACATAGGCTGTTTCTCAATATGCGTTCTTGTCTGTACTTGCGCTCTTGTGTCCTCGTAAAACGTCATCGTCCGTCGCCAAAGTACTGTTCCAATTCAAAGTTCACATCTTGCCAAGTACAGATGAAATTCCCGGATGTGCACTTGCTCTGGCCTTTGGCCAAGGATGCATCGAGAGGTGACTTGTGCGAACTTGCGAAGCTCAGGTATCCCAGAATGCATTGCAGCGTAACCAGCAAGCGCTAATGGCGGAGGAGGAAACCCGCACGGTTTTAAAAATGCTCCTTTACTGTGTCACAAAATAAAGTTCTAAGAGTTTTTCAGGCGAGAATGTAGTTGTTTTAAACTTGAATCTGCAGTTTATTCACAAAGATAGCGCTTCTTTAACGATGTAGCTCAGCTTATGCGTACTCCCACTCCCAGCCTGCCAGCGGGAGCTCCGTCGTCAGCTCCCCCGCCAGAGCAGCTTTACTTCGGCCAGGCCATCTCGGACGTACCGCTGGATCTCATCTCTCCATTGTAGTTAAAACAGGATATTTAATACATCTTGGAAATATCTAACGGACAGTTTTTGGTCTTATAAATCTATTATTTGTTCTCAGTTGTCTTATTTTGGCAGTGTTATTTTGTTACCCTTTAAAATTGTCTTTAATTATGTTACCGTGTTGTACGCTGTTTGTCTTGATTACTTGATGTAATCTTTATTTCTTATTGTGTGTATAATTTCCATTCTAGTTTAATAAATCTGATAATCAAAGAAACCTGTATAATAACTCATTTTAATTCACATTTATATGAATTTATGTATACATTTTCTTAAATCAAAAATGTAGATTTATAATATTAATATAATATTAATTAAATAATTTTATTTTTAATGTACAGTGAAACTGATGAATCCATGGTGAGGTAAGTGACGTTATGAAGTACACTGCTGTTCCATTTGAAGAAGTACCCGACTTGTGTCCATCTGTGTTCATCTGTAGCTCCGCCCTCTTTTGAAAAGAGCACAATCTCATTTAAATTTAAAGCAACAGTCACCAAAACGCTACAATTAGGATCGAAGCCTAAAATGGTCCATTTCAAAGAGTTATAAAACATTATCTATGGGGTATTTCAAGATGAAACTTTACATATACACTCTAGGGACACCAGAGACTTATTTTTTGTCATTTTTTCCCTGTAAAAAGGGTCATAGTAGGCTCGCTTTTAGAAGTGTCAAAATTAATTGTTTCTTCGGTGCACTGCGATGCAGATCTCAACCGGTTATAACGTACTGACATCATTTATCTCTTATGTGCTACTGTATATTGCGGTAACTTAATAGGGCGAGCGAGAATAATAAAAATAAAAAAACTCCAGCTACTTAAACACAGAAACTCTGCACGATTCACTGCGTGTGTTTCACTGATACTATTGTTAAAGCAAAAGCCCCTGTTTCACTGCTATGGAAAGATGTAAACTCAATTTCTCTCTCTCTGTCTCTCTCACTGTGGACCTTTGACCTGCTGGCGTGAGGTAACGTTTACTCTCCTCTCGGCTGTTTCAGAGATCCTTGTGAATCCAGACATGAGCGTGTCGATAATGGCTGTGATGGGCGCTGCCGTTTATGCTCGTATGTTGGTGAACTGCGCCAGAGCGTTGGAGCCAGTCACAGCCCTTTCTGTTGAGCATGTTACCAATCATAGGGGTTTAACAACTCGCAGAAAAATATTTACAGTTGCTTTTTTACATGCCCAATGCTTTCTCCCCCTGATGACACCTACAATGGGAGAATGTCAATCAAAGTGTTTCCGCAGACTATTTAGGGGCCAAGCACCGTAGGTGCGGAGGCACCTATTGCTTTCGTTAGCGTTCCTATTATTATTATTCTTCTTCCGTTTCTTCCGTCGGATTTGAATGGCAGCCCATATAGGCGTATGCAGGAAAGTTGTATAATTTGGCACAATGATAGAGGACAGTGTTAACATTAATCAGACCAAATATGAAGTCTCAAAATCAAACTCTCTAGCGCCACCACTTGTCCAAACTTTCACATATGTTTATCATGATAACTTTTGAACCGAATGGGCTACAATCAAAATTCTTTTTTCCTCTGATTCCTTGGCTCAGTCCGATTCAAACGCACACTATGACGTTTTCATTTTCCGTCATTAAATTTTTCGCGCTATTTTAAATTATTCGAAAAACATATTTGATCGAACTTGTCCTAGGCCGTTTCTCCGATTTTGACCAAAATTGAATCACACGATCCACAGACCCTGCCAAACAAAAATTATGGAATTCAAGTTGATTTGACCAACCGTTTTTGTTTAACTTGCGATCAAATTTAACGTAGAACTTGCAAAAATGGACTTGAGGCGATATCTCCGTAACACATTCACCGATTTACACCAAACTTGGTGTTTGTTATGACAACTAGGGTCTGAGGTTATATGCGGAGTTTCGGCGCACTGACCCTAGTGGTCCGGAGATACAAAAAAACTTGCTTTTTTGGTTTATAACGTCTCAACCTTTCGTCCGTAACTCATAAAACTGGTCTCATTACATCCAGCAGAGCATGTCGAGTGGAATGATGTCTGATTTTCACAGGACAACCATTTGAAAATGGTTTGTCAGGACAACCCATTTCAATTTTTGGCCAAAAATGCTATATTTTACCAACACATTCACATATCATTACAAAACATGGTATGCATATTCAACCCCATGCCCTGAAAGTACTCAAAAACTTCTGGAGCAGCGCCACCTTTTGGCCAAAAGTGCTTGGCCCCTTAATTGCTGCTTGCAGCTGTATTTAAATCTTGTGATTATAATAAATACATCTAAAACATGGAACCATTAGAAGCTGGCTATATTCACACACTGTTGCCACACAACTGTGTTTAAACCCCTTATACAAGTCATTTTTGCATAATAAGTCCCCTTTAATTAAATTAAAACAATAGCATATCAAGCATATCTTATATAATTAATTAATTTTCCTTCAGCTTCGTCCCTTTCGTCCTATTGATCAGGGGTCGCCACAGCGGAATAAACCACCAACTTATCCAGCATATGTTTTACACAGCGGATGCCCTTTTAGCTGCAACCCAGTACTGGGAAACACCCAAACACACTTATTCACACTCATACACTACGGCCATATTTAATTTGCCTGTAGCGCATGTCTTTTGACTGGAGCACTCGGAGGAAACCCACACCAACACGGGAAGAACATGCAAGCTCCACATATAAATGCCAACTGCCCAGCCAAGACTTGATTGAGCGACCTTCTTGCTCTGAGGCAACAGTGCTAACCACTGAGCCATCGTATTGTCCTTATATACTTCAAATATATGTCAGAAGTGTATATAGTTGTGAAAAATGTAAGACAATTATTTTATTTCCTGAGGTAAAGCATGCACTGGTGAATTGTTCACAACACAACCAGGAATTATAAACATTATAGTTGGAGCCAATGTTGTTTTAATGTTATTTCTATGTTGATTTCTTGTCGGTTTGGCTGTGTTTGCTGTGACTTCTTGACCTCTGTGTGTTTGAGTTTGTTATATAAAGCAGAGCCGCTTTAATATGTGCTTCTGCCTCCACCGCTCAGAGCATCTGTACTTTAAGAGGTTCTCGCTCTCTGACAGGTGCATCATGGGACTTTTGAACCGCCGTGTGTCTCTGACAGGTCTGGGACGCGTCTGTCACCCTTCGTTCATACATTGTCGTCTTCTTTGATTGTCTTTCCTGTCTCTCTGATTTGGTTTTAGCAATGACTTCAGCCGTATGGTGGCAGAGGAATATCTGCACTACTTCAATTTCACCGCCATGACTTTGGACCAAGCACTGAGGTCAGCACATTAAATGTGGAAGCGGAAAATGATTTCCCTTTTTTAAACATTGATACATATATGAGTTATTAAATAAATATGTAATGCATAACATTGCTAATAGTATTATATGACTTGTGCAAGTGATGTAATTGATTAGATGGTGTGGAATATCAGTACAATATTTACATGAACAAATTAAATAAATACCTAGTAATATTAAGCGAAGGATGGAAAGATAGACAGACTGATGGATGGATGGAGTGATTGATAGACAGACGGATGGATGGATGCCATCCATACATCTGTCTGTATATCCATCCATTGCTAATGGATGGATGGACAAATGGATGGATGGATATTTGTATATATGTCATCCATTAGCAATGGATAGATAGACGGATGGATGGATATTTGTATATATGTCATCCATTAGCAATGGATAGATAGACGGATGGATGGATATTTGTAAATATGTCATTCATTAGCAATGGATGGATGGATGGGTAGACAGATGGATGAATAGACCGATGGATATTTGTAAATGTCATCCATTAGCGATGGATGGATGAATGGATGGTTGGATAGATAAACATGGATGGATAGACAAATGGTTGGATGGATAGATGGATAGATGACTGGATGGATGGGTAGATGGATGGATGGATGGATGGATGAGTAGACAGATGGATTGATGGACTGGATGAATGGACAGATGGATGGATGAATGGATGGATGTGTAGACAGGTGGATGGATAGACAGATGGATGGATAGAAAGACGGATGGATGGATATTTGTAAATATGTCATCCATTAGCAATGGATGGATAGACAAACATGGATGGATAGATAGATGGTTGGATGGATGGATGGATGGATGGATGGATGAATGGATGGGTAGACGGACGGATGGATGGATGAATAGACAGATGGATTGATGGACTGATGGATGAATAGATAGATGCATGGATGGACAGATGGATGGATGAATGGATGCATGGGTAGACAGGTGGATGGATAGACAGATGGATGGATGGATGTATATTTGTATTTATGTCATCCATTCGCAATGGATGGATGGAAAGATGGATAGACAGACAGACAGATAGACAGACAGACAGACAGACAGACGGATGGATAGATAGATTGACAGATGAATGGATGGAAATATAGATGGATGGATGGACGGACGGACGGACAGACTGACGGATGGATGGATGGACTGACGGATGGATAGATGGATAGACAGACGGATAGATGGATAGGCGGATGGAAGGAAGGAAGGACGAACGGATGGATGGACAGACAGACAGATAGATGTATGGATGGATACAGATAGACAGACGGATGGATGGACAGATGGTTAGATAAATGGATGGATGGAAGGATGGACAGATGGATGGATGGATACAGTTAGACAGATGGATGGACAGATGGATGGATGGTTGGATGGATGGATGGATGGATGGACAGACAGACAGACAGACAGACAGACAGACAGACGGATAGATGGATGGATGGATGGATATAGATCAGGGGTTTTCAAAGTGTGAGGCGCGCCTCCCCTGGGGGGCGCCAGAGCATGTCAGGGTAGGCGCGGGAAAAAATATAATATAATAAAAATATAATTATTAAGTTTAATTATTATATGTATTTTTTATTATATTTAAACGTTTATTATATGCCTGCTAATACAATGGGTCGGTTTCTGAGACCCACCCCGATTCAAAGCTGTAATGAAGTTCACGGCCCTTTGGCCGCCGGGAAGGAGGCGGAGAACCGAAGCAATTTTAAAGTGATTTATTAATGACAGTGACGGCAGCTCCGTCTAAACCAAAACAAACGGACGGCAGATCCTCACGGAGACTGCCGTCAAACTGAAAGCAAAAGTAAAATATGTCCGGGTCCGGTCCTCTCTCGGCTTCCTCTGCCCTTGTTCCTCCTTTTATGATCCAGAGCTCCTTCCGTGGGATCTGAGGCAGGTGCGCACCGCAGGTGTATCTACTTACGCGGTGGCCTCACTCCGTTCGCACGGCGCTCGGCCACGCCCCCTCGCCACAAAAGCCTTCAAGTTCAGGGCTTAAACCCAAAAGACGACGATATGATGATCAGTATTTAAGTTTATGATTTACGTGGACAGGACCAGCTGATGAACCACGACTTTTTATGTGTGGTTTGTCAAAATATTTTGGCTAATGACAGCATGAGACCCACTAAACTTCCACTGTTTTGACTGGGATGGACAGTTCTTGGAACTGTTCTATTCATATTGAACCATCATCCTAGTTTTAAAAACGTTATATTAAAATACTTGTTATTACTCTGTAAATAATTGCACTTTCATGCAAATGATGATAAAAGTGAGTTAACAGTCTGACATCTGTCTGTGTCTTTATATATACTGTATATATATATATATATATATGTATGTATATATATATATATATATATATATATATATATATATATATATATATATATATATATGTGTGCGTGCGTGCGTGCGTGCGTGCGTGCGTGCGTGTTTGGGAGGAGGGGGGCGCCAATGGATAAGTTGTGTCAAAAGGGAGGCCCACTGTCTTAGACTTTGAAAAACCCTGATATAGATAGACAGATGTGTGGATGGATGGATGAATATAGGTAGACAGATGGATGGACAGACGGATGGATGTTTTTGTAACAGAATACTTTATATTGATCTTCATTGTTAATAAAATTGTAATTCTGAATATGTTTATGTTTTGTTTAATCTTCACTGGACTGTAAATGACCTTTGTAGTATTCCGCTGTGCATTTGTGTTTATCTGTGTGTGTGTGTGTGTGTGTGTGTGTGTGTGTGTCTGTTGTGTTTCAGGACTTTTCTGATCGAGTTTGCTCTGACGGGTGAAACGCAGGAGAGAGAGAGAATCTTAGCACACTTCTCTCGCAGATTCCTGCAGTGTAACCCGTCACTCACACTGTCTGAAGGTAAAGCTCAGTCTCTGTGTGTGTGTGTTAACAGTGATGGACAGATGTGTGTATTTATGTGGGTGTGTGTCTCTCAGACAGTGTCCACACACTGACCTGCGCCCTGATGCTGCTCAACACAGACCTGCACGGACATGTGAGTTTATCACATCATCACCACACACACATCATACATTACACACACATGAACATACACCACACACACATGCATATCCACACACAACACTTAAATGTAGACACACAGACACAACTAGCAACAAATACATACATGATGTACCACATATGATGCATGTACACACACACACACACACACACACACACACACACACACACACACACACACACACACACACACGTGTACAAACTTACATACACATATGTACAAACTTACATACACATATATACACATACACCACACTTAAACAAACACCCACATGCATGCATATGCACACACAGACACAACAAGCCACATACATATTGTATCATATGCACATGCATACATACATACACCACACACACACAAACACACACATGCGCATGCACACATAACATGTACACGTACACACGGACATAACAGGCCACATAAATAAACACATACCTACTGTACCACATACTACACACATACACAATAACACACACACACATACACACATGCCATAGTATATCATAGTATGAACTCATGCTTGTTGTAGTTGTAATTTTTGTTTAAACTGATGTTTTCAAAGTGCACAAAGCTTGATAATTCTCATGTGTGAATGATGTTGTAGCACAAAACATGAAAGTCTCCTCCAATAATAATAACTGCTAATCTAAAAACCCACTTGAGATTCTCTGGAGATGCAATAGAGGATTAGCCTTCCGGCTTGGCCTACAAATTGACGTCAGGATTGAGAAGCTGTGTGTGTTCAGAACTAAAACACAAACAATAACTGTGAGCTCAGTTCATAAAAACAAAGGAAATAATAAAAGTGCACTCACTGAAAATCTCATGCATACTCCGATATCCTGACACTGACATGCAAACCTTTATAACCAAATCTAATGCTAATTGTTAGTATGTAAATGTCACAAATATTAAATGATTGAACATTATTATTATTATTAAAAACACATTAAGAAATCTCTATATATATTAATTTATTTTATTTAAAAAATAATAATAATAATAATGGAAAATATTTAATATTTATAGACATTTACATACTGACAATTAGCATTAGATTTGGTTGTAAAATATGTGCATGCATATTATTATTATCATTATTAATAATATCACTTATTATTATTAATAAAACACATTATGAAATGATTATATTTAATAATGATAATGATAATAATAATAATAATAATAATAATAATAATGTATTTTGTTGTATTTTGTTTAGATTTGGTTGTAAAATTTGTCCATATATTTATTATTATTATTATTATTATTATTATTATTATTATTATTATTATAAAAACATTTTATGAAATTATTGTGTGTGTATATATTTTATATATATATATATATATATATATATATATATATATAT